TGGGCTTTACACATGTGGAGTTTTCCTTTGTTCCATTTTAGGAAGATCTTTAGGACAAAGTTATTCCACAGGTGGTAAATGTGCCTACTGGAATTCTGCCACAGGAACAGTCTTTCAGAATTGTATTAGACTGATGAGTCAGGCTTCACATCTTTTCTTTAGAAACTAACAGGATGTCACTTGTCACAATAGTACTATCTGCTCCTTTATTTGTCTTATTGTTCCAGAAAGAATAAAAGCTATATTTGTGTAGTAGCCCTGCTTGCTCAAAGACTCTATAGTTCAAATCCTAATAAAATAGTCCTCTGAAAAGAAAGAGGAAAAAAAAAAAAAAAAAAAAAGAACAAAAGAATAATAAGAGATTTGAAGGACTCTGACTTCACTAAAGCTTCATTAGCTAAATGAAACGTGAAAATAAAAACACACCTGCAGTCACTGTGGAAGTAAGATGATATTTCTCTGTGCTTGTCAGGATCTATCAGTACCAGACCTATTTACAGGACATATTGAAAATTCTCATGGGTATTAACCAGTCTTACTCACTTTTGAAATGGGTCACATTTTAGCAAGTGCCCTAGAAGTGAAAAGCTTTTGTGTAACATCAGTTCCATGAGTCATTTCCCCCCATATTGGTTAATATAATTTAATTTCCCTCTCTTCACCTGTCATAAGAGGATCAGGGGAAAAGGGTTGCTTTTCTCTGTACTTGAGAATTAATTGATATAATTTGTTTGAGGTTTCCTTCTTTCACGGTGCTTTCTTAAAATTAGAACCAAAATAAATGTGTTCCTAGCCATTGCAGAATAAATTGATTAGAGCTGATTATGTGCAGTTGTGATGTACACTGAAATTTGCATGACACATCTCTCCTGGAGTGAAACTAAAAAAGGAATTTGAATCTTACCCCATTCTTTTCAAAAAAATACAGTCCATTCACCATTAAATCAAATAAGTTGTGGTCAATATTTAGAACAGATGACTGTGTAGATTTAATGAATGATGCAGCTGTTAAAGTCTCAGGCACTTACCTAATCTGTGTTAACTAAGAAGTCTATGTTTATTAAGGGATAATTATTGGCAAGAACATCCCTATTTTTCCTTTTCTTAATCGTATTACAGCAGTCTCTACAGTCCCCAGTTTCCACCAAGACAGTAGCCTTGATAAATTCTGTAAGATCTTGATTGGGAAAATGTATGTGTTTAGTTTGACTGCTGTGAGCATTTGAAATTACATAATATGTCATACATATGTCTGCTTATATGTGAAAAGGTAGCAGGAGTAAATGTATTTCTGGGGGCTAAGGAGGCCCTGCCCACATTTGCAAGCCCAGCACAGCAAGTCTGAGCCTTCTGGCTGTTTCCAGCCTCATAAGCTGCAGGTGAGACTGGAAGGTGTCTGGTATGAAGTGTTAGGGGTTACTGACTGAAAATGGGAAAGGGTCAGCAGAGGACTCACATCCCACAGGAAGCCATGTGCATGTTTAACTGATCACATTAACAAAGTTCCACTGAAAGCAAAAGGAGAAATCCAACAAAGTCATCTGTACAGGGTTCTTTGATCCCAGAATATAGTTGCAGAGTACTATAGAACTCGTGAAAAAACCAGAATAACTTTTCTCCCACCTTTTTGACAACTTTTTTATTTTCTTGTCTTATATCAATGTATTCTTTCTGCATCAGTTTTGAGAAAAAATTCATTCTTCATTTGAAAAAGCCATATGAGAGAAATTATGTATGTATATATGTATGTGTAGAAGACAGAGAGAAAGAAAGAGACAGAAGTTGTCCTCTGTCTGGATCCAAGAGGAAACAGCTTTTCAGGTAGCTATCCCAGTAAGGGAACAGCACATTTAGGTTGTCTCTGAGATGATATAAAATAGCACCTACCCCACCTGACACCACTACTCAGCCCCTATTCCCAGCTGGCTAACATAAACCTTGTGATGCTGTTAAATGAAAGGTAGGTCATATATGGCTCCTGACCAGTAGGAACTGTAAGAATTGCTGCTGTGAGAGAGGGAGTAATTGCAGAACCTTTGTTCTGTAAGGATACAGTTCCCCATGATGGTTCATTTCTTCTCAACCCTTCCCTCACAGTGTTGGCTCTTTGATGATAGAAGTGCAACAATTGAACTCTGAGAAAACTGGTATTGTCATGCTTTCATAGATCTCTTTTCCCTCAAATGCTTACACAGATACAGGATTTTTGTTCTTCAAGCATAGGCCCTGTAAAATGTATCTGCACTTTTTAAACTTTGGAAATGACAGCTTTCTGATCAAAGAAAACATTCATTTTCTTTCCATTCTGAGGAATAGTACTGTACTGGTTTGCCTCAAAATAACATATCTCGTGTCTTGTTGCTTTGCTCTTTCCTTTAGACATGTAATTTACCATAGCAAGCTTTTCAATTAGGGACTGATCCAAAACTTTAGCTACTCTTGTGGGAAAAAAAGCCCAACAAAACCTACATTGCTTTCAGGCTCTTTCAAGCAGTTTTATGTACAGTTATTCACACAGTGGTCACACTTGCGTGACAAGGTTACACTGTAGGCACAATATATACAATACAGCATTTCCTTAGGATATTAATAGTAATTTTGGATGGTAGGAAAGCCACCTTTTCTTCTCCTTTTTCTTTGTGTCAGTTCTGCCGATCAGCTGTAAAATGTGACAGTGATTAGACATGGCAGCTTTTCTCTTTACCAGTATTTTGATGGACCAAAACTTATTCTCTTTTTTCTCTCTCTGTTTTTTTTGTTTGTGTTGGTCTTTTTTTTTTAATCTAAGACAAAGATTCACATCTTTGGGAATTAGCCACTTGATCCACATTTCTAACAGATGCAGGGGGGGAATTTCTGTTGTCTTTCTTGTCTGTCTTTTCAGCTTTTGCCAGAATGTGATAGGAGAAAAAACCTTTCTGTTCACCACACTGTCATGTTATTGGTGTGACTGGAAAATGGTAAAAAGAGAGACTACAGATTACGGCAGAGTGTGCCAGCATCACCCTAATGTGGGGACTTGTTCAACCAGCCGGTGAGTCCAAGCATTCAAAGTGGAGCCTCCAACCAAGAACCACCCCTCGCTGCTGGCCAGCAGGTGCGGGTGTGAATGCCCAGAGGGCAATCATAGCAAGCATTGAAGGGGGAAAAGGGCAAGCAATCCCTCAGATGTAAGCTGGGCAAGCCTGCCAAAGGACACAGACACCGGGTTTTGAACAGGTTTCAGGAGTGCCAGATACAGCCGGTGCGCTCAGTGTGTCCCTGAGCACAGCGCAGGGATCAAAGCACCAGTAACTCATCTCCAGGTCTGTCCCTTCCTGAGCTGCACACTAGCGGAAAGTTTGGCTTCCTGCTGCTCTCGCCTGCGATCCGGGAGTGGATCAGCGCGTCGCCGCGATCCCTGGCTGAGCCTGTGCCTCGCAGCCGCTCGTCTGCGCATGAGTCGCTGCGGGAGGCTCGGCGGCTGGAGTATTTGAGGGGCTGGGCAGCGGGGGAAGATGCTCAGAGCCTGCGGAGNCGGCACCATGCGCGGGCGGCCGCGCCGGGCGGCAGGCGAGGCTGCGGTGCCCCCTTCCTCCTGCCCTCGCCCGCTCCAGCCGACCCGCTGAGAGATGGACTTGGCAGGCGTGCTGCTGGCGCTGCTCCTCGTGCTGGTGCTGGTCGTCTCTCTGCTCTCCAACCTCCTGGTGCTGCTATGCTTCGTCTACAGTACGGAGATCCGCAAGCAGGTCGCCGGGGTTTTCCTGGTGAACTTATCCTTCTGCAACCTGCTTCTCACCGTTCTGAACATGCCTTTTACCCTGCTGGGCATCCTGAGGAACCAGCAACCCCTCGGGGGCTGCGTCTGCAAGGCGGTGGGTTTCCTGGAAACTTTCCTGACTTCCAACACGATGCTGAGCATGGCAGCGCTCAGCATCGACAAATGGATTGCCGTGGTGTTCCCCCTAAGCTACACCAGCAAGATGCGGTATAAGGACGCTGTGATACTGATGGGCTACTCGTGGCTCCACTCCCTCACGTTCCCCTTGGTATCCCTGTTTTACTCGTGGGTAGATTACAACAGCGTTTACGCCTCTTGCACCTTACACCTGAAGGAGGAGACGGAGCGGAGAAGGTTTACAGTGTTCACCATTGTCTTTCACTCCACCAGTTTCATGCTGTCTCTGGTGATCTTGTGTTTCACCTATTTAAAGGTGTTGAAAGTTGCCCGGTTCCACTGCAAGCGGATAGACATTATTACCATGCAGACTCTGGTTTTGCTGGTGGATATCCACCCCAGGTAAAGCGTGCGCGTTGGGATTCGCAGCCGCGGTCACTCGCGGTAGTTCTCCCGGGCAGAAGCGATATCCCGCCTCTCCAGCGCCCTTTCCTGCCTGCCCCGGCCGCACGGCTCTAGCTTCACACGCTGCTTGCAGCGCCAGGAACGGTGCCTTGGGCATTTGTAACCTGTTGAAATGCTAATCGGGCTCTCCGGGTTATCTCACTTGCTTGAGCTCCCTTCAAGCGGGAGTCACTGTTTTGTTGAGTGCGACCGTCCCGGGGCTCGGCGGGGCTGGGGCTGCCCTCCTTGCCCTCCTCTCCCCGGGGGAATTGCCTTCCTCTCCCCCGGAAGGCTGCCCTCCTCCCTCGGGGCTGCCCTTCCCCCGACCGGGCTGCCCTCCTCTCCCCTTCCCTTCCCTTCCCGGCTGCAGGGGCTAAGGGTGTGGAGGGGGCTCTTCCCCTCTCCTTGTGCTCACGCCTCACCTCCTCCCTTCTTGCCTTAACACCCTCGCTGCTCTTTTCCCTCTGTAGTGTGAAGCAGCGCTGTCTGAACGAGCAGAAAAGGAGGAGGCAGCGGGCTACCAAGAAAATCAGTATTTTTATAGGGTCATTCGTGATCTGTTTTGGTCCTTACATTATCACCAGGTCAGTATCCCCTGTGAGGGTGGGAGACTTTGCGGGATCGAGATGTCCTGTGATGTGCCAGGGGTCCTACAGCTAATTCTGGGAGACCAGAGCCAAACGGACCCCCGGGACCTGTCGTGAGGGGCAGAGCACACAAACACACGCAAACACACCCTGACACGCTGCTCCTGCCCACACACCCAGTCCTAGGGGCAGCCCCGGCAGGACCTGGCTCTCCTTCCCTCATCACAGCCAGGTCTGGGCACCTCTGCCAAAAGCAAGTGGATTTTAGGACAAGTACTGGGAATTAATTATATGCCAGTGAGAGATAAAAGCAGTTTAAAAGACTTGCCACCCTTCCTTATTAGCACAAACGTAGCAACAGAGAGAACAGACTTTCCTGATTAGCTTAGGGCTTTTTGGTTTTTTTTGTTTATTTTGTTTTAGGCATAAGGCCAAGCTTGCTGCTATTGGAAGCTGAGTTGATATAATTTAAATTTGTCCAGGCTGATAATTTGACAGATAAGATTTCAGTCTAGAAACATTAATGCCTGTAAATATATTGCTAATGGTTCAGCACAGACTTGTGATGAGGTGTAAAAGTTATCTCCCAGGAAAAACAATAATTAAACTTCTTAAATGTATAGGAAACACCATGTTCCTCAACTGGACAGAATTATAGACATCCATCCTGGTGTTTGCACCTTTTGAAGTGTCCGTGCATCACTGCTGTTATCCACTTGTGTAGTCTCCATAGAACAGATGATTATTATTTTTTTTAATCCTGTATAAACCAGTGAGTTTTAAGTCTGTGTAACTTCACTGAATTGCAGCATCCCAGCAATTAACCTTTCTTCTCTAAACTGAAATGGGCTACATCTTTCAAAAGTGATTTTTAAAAATATTTCCCACTTTCACAGTGTGTTCAAGACAGCCTTGAAGAGTGCTGACTTGTGTTGAGGTGCACTAGTGTGCAAAACCTCCTGCTGAGGGCTTCTTCAAGGTTGTTACCAAGCTGCCAGTGTCTGCAGCCGCAGCAGCTCACAGAAACTGGCCAGCTTTAGTGCTCTGATCTCACACAGGCACACACATACAGGCCATTTATGGTCAGTGCCACTGCCCTTTTCTGAGAGGAGTAGGAGACAGGTTAAGGCTGGAGCACTAAACTGACAATATTTTTTAAATTTTTTAAATGACATTTATTTCAATTCCCATTTACATGTTGAAAGGGATTCCTTCCTGATTGCCTGGATAACTACATCTTTTTTCTGCATTACAAATTATTATAGGATTATTACAAATATTAACATTACATCACATAGTTAAAAGGTTAATTTATCATTGTTCAGTACATTTTGAGTCATGATCTATTCACTTTTGCCATAATCAGGATGTAATTATGTTGAGCAAAGTGGATTTTACCATCTTCTTTCCATCTGAACATTACCAAGCTCAGCAAATTCCAAACATGGAGGAATTTTTTAGGGTGGAGATATTTCTCATAAACTTCTAAAATGAAAGTTACTTTCTTCCTCAGACCTTGCATCTGGCAGACGTGAGATGGTGCATTTTCTATGTGTGACAAAGTGGTACCCACTGAATCACTACAGAGAAGGCTGAGGGCTGGTTTGTGGAAATGTGTGTCCAGGTATTTGGGGAGGACATCCTAAAAGGCTCCTTGTCTCAAAGACAAGGCTGTGCCAAGACAGCACTCCATGAAAGGTGGTGATGGAGGTGAGATTGGAGGACTTGCTGCCGTGCCTGTTTCTCTGTTCTTCCCTTATCCTGGCTTTTAGTGGGGGTGGCACTGAAGCATTCTCTGGGGAGGCAACATAAAAGCCATCTCCCTGTTGTCTTGCTTGGCCTGGTGACTCAGGCTGCATTGTGAGCTCAGTATTTGCTCCTCACTTCAGAAATTTGAAGGAGATTAGTCTCATTAGCAATATATTCGTCTGTTCACTAAGAGACGACAGATGAATTTAATCTCTTTTGTAACAGCACTGAAAACAAGAAAATCTTACTAAGATGCATTCAGATGGGTATTTCTAAGTCTGACTTGTTTTGGCCAGACCCTTTATCTTATTAAAATCTGTGTAATTTTTCTTCTGTTGGCTTCAGCGCAGTTAAGTTTGGATCCATAATGCATTAATGGGAACATAGCAATACATCTATTTTCAAGACTGAAAGATATCTTTCTCTTCTTATTTAGTGCCTTTATAAAAACATCAATAATATTTTTCTTGTATTAGGATGATATGCAGGATGGGATAAACCTAAGCAATCACAGAGCAAGTGTCATTTATTGTACATTTATTTCTTATATTTTGCATCTTCCTATTCTGTCTATTTTGAATTCACTGGAACTTTTTCTGACCAGTTTCAAACAGAAGACATCTGTTCTTTTAAATGCACTTGCCATAGGAATGATTTAACTTTTAGCCATATAAATAAGAAATTTTCCTGCAGCAATGTTCAGTCCAAATGATGGTAAGTCAGTTTTTCTATGAGGAGGGACTGGAACAGCTTCAAAAGTCAACACCCTGCAAGTCGAGAGCTCTGCAATTTGAAAAGAGGACAGAAGGTTCTTCAAGCCTCAAGAAAACTTCTGATCTTACATCTTCAAACAGTGATGTCTTAGAGTAGAGAAAAGGGCTATTTTATCTCCCAGAACATTTTCTTTACTTCTGGGATGAATAGAGCAAAGCAGCATACTCTTGCTCCTGCAAAAGGTTTTACAAAAGAAATACACAAAATAAAAATTCCTCACCCTATTCTTTGCACCTTCCTGGAGGATTTGCCCACGGCAGATGAGCTGGGTGAGACATTTGCTGGAATAGTCTGAAGTATTGCCCTCACTTCTGTGGAAAAATTGTTTAACTTAGTTGTGGTTTCTGCCCCTATGATTAATACATCCCTCTCAGCTGAGGTGCTGAGGCCACTAATCATCCGTGAAGCACAGACCAGGAGACACAGGTCTGGATGTAGCTGACTGGTCATATAATGATGATAAAAGTGTTGTCTCCTTGTTTTCTTTGGCCAGTCTAGAAGTCAGCTAAATGCACACAAAAAACTTCCAAGGCTAAGTAGTTGTAGGTGTGCTGCTAATCATACCGTGGGGTTGCAGCTGCCAGTCAGACCTGCCTGGGATACTGCCAGGTTGTTCTTCATACTGCAATGGTCTGACATGAATCTGCTCTGTGTCCGTGTTAATTCACCACAGTGCTGTAACGAAGGTTTGCTGATCTGTGTCTGAGGAGATGGATTCAGTGACCTAGACCACATTTCTGGTGTCATTTGAGATGCTGCATGGTATCAGAGTCCTTTACCTAGGCTGGCAGATATGCCACAGGACCTAAAGCAGATCTTCCAGGAGCAGCAGCCTGATGCCAATGGGGTTATGTCCAAATGTCTCAAGTGTCACCTGAGAGCTCTACTCAGGAAACTGAGCTCAGTGAGTCTGGGTGCCCCAAGTCACGTGTGTCTATCTCAAGCTTGCAGTGGGAGAGAGGTAGTCATTTATGTCACCACAATTTTGACCACTTACCAGCACTGCTCAGTAAATTCAGAAAGTGAGCAGTAAACTGCAGCACTCTCTTATCAACTCTGCACAGAAGTATTACCACTGAAAACAGTTTTTCCCTCTTCCCACAGTAGGAATTGATTTTGTCTCCCAGTGGCCTTGATAGGAAAGTTCTCTTTGCCATTATTGAATGTGAGGAGTAAGTACACAGCCCTTCTCCTGCAGGGACTGTGTGCTGTAAGAAAATAAATGTTGCTTGAATGTTTCATGAAGCATGAGTTGAGCACGGGGATCAGTGTGAGTATAACGCTCAAGTGTTTCCATTTCTCTTTAATGTTTAACAGGTTGATAGAGCTCATTCCTTTTGTTACCATAAATTACTACTGGGGAATTATAAGCAAGTGCCTCACCTACAGTAAGGCTGCATCAGATCCGTTTGTTTACTCGCTTTTACGTCAACAGTACAAAAAAGTTCTGATCAACATCGTCAACAGGATACTAAAGAGGGATCTGTATCCGTCATCGGGGTACAACAGTTCTCTCGACACTGAAAACGATTACTGCTTGCACAGAACAAACTGACAACATGAAAGCATTCCCCTTCCAGGGAGACAGGTGTTTGCTGCTGCTGGAAAACTGCCTTTCTCCTCTCATGCTGACAGTGGTGACAGTGTCTCCAGGATGTGAAGGCTGCGTTAATGCGACACATTTCACCGTGGACTTTCATCGACAGGCTCTTCCCTGGTCTGCAGCCAAGCACAATCCATGGCAAAGCCTTGTCCCCAGTGAACAGAATTGGCTTGAGGGGTTTTAAGAAAGCCTTTAGAGGATTTTAGACATCTCTTCATGCGTGAAGACTTGGTATGTCTGGGATGTTCCATATCAGACATGACATTCCGGTGTCTTCTGGGAGCACGGGAATCCCCACGCTGGAGGGACGGGTTCAGAGTCCTCCGTGCTGCGCATGTGACTTGGCAGCCCAGGATCTGCTCTTAGTTTTGAACATTAAAAATAGATCTTTTAATTGATTGATTTAATTGTATTGGTGCCTCAAGTGAGTCAGCACTTTGAATTTGAGATTGTTACTATTATTCTTATTATTACTATTATTCTTATTATTACTATAATTATTATTATTATTTATTACTAGGCATCATGATTGTAACATAGCCTTTAGGAAGTGGTACATATATTTGATATGCCAGTATTCTATCAAGCATAACCAAAGTCCACATATCTGAGTTACAAATATCTAGCACTTCAGTGGTATGTGATTACAATAACTGCAGCAACAGTAACAAAGACATGTATGGAATTTAGTTAAATTGCACTGTAGTTCCATCACTGAGCTAGTAGTCCTATTCAAGCAAGCTTTTTATTCAGAAAAAAAAAAAAAATCAGTAGAAGTGACAGATACCATTGTGTTTAAGATATATTACTTCAGAAGCTATCTGTTTTCAAAGAAAAGGCTAAAATATATTAATTCTTTTTAAGGGATATATAATGTGTAAAATATTTCATGCATTGGCTATGTATGGTGGATTGTCATAATACTGTACAATCTTTTCTTTAATAATGATAAATTAATCTGGTGATTTTAACTGACAACAAGAGATGTGAGAAATATTATAACAGACCTGATGCCAAATGCCCAGAAATATAAAGCTGCTTTGTTATTATATGTATATTTCTCTTTTATTTCTTTTAAGATTTAAACAGGTTTTGGAAAATTGTGGGAATTATTTTTGAACAATATTCTTTTGATTATGCAAGACATTTATTAAAATTTAAGAATTCTATGGCATTCAATAAACTATTTTCTAATTGAGTACAGAAGGGAAAAAGTAAAGCAATTCTAAAGTATATTTTAAGAAAAATAAAAAGAAAGATGACAATAAAGCAATCTTATTTTTTATGTAACAATACACTTGACCCTATAAAGCATTGAGAAGGCTATTTCTGGTCAAACTAAGCATATAAGCATGTGATTAGGCACAAATATAATTTTCTTTGAAGCTAACAGTTCTATTTCCATGCTGAAAATTAAATACACACTCAACTGTTTTGCAAAATCAGTGTTGAGCTGTCAGCACATTGAGAGGGTTTTTCCCACCATCCACAGTGTGGAAGGAGGGTGTCTTGTTCAATCCCACTGAAGTCAAGGAAGGATGATGCTGCCTAACAAACATGGTGTTCTCTTACCTCCTGCTTTTAATCTCTGGGGCCTTTATCATGCTCTTTTTCTTTTTTTCTTCCCCACATGCAAGTACCTTAGGCCTCTGCTCTTTGCATCTATAGTTCTGCCTGTGTTTAAATTGAATGTACTATAATGGTTTTGTCTTAGTAAAGTATTTGTACTCTCTTCAATTTTGTGTAAATACAGTATTTCAGAAAAAAAAAAAAAAAAAAAAAAAAAAAAAAAGGCGTCTATGGAATCTTTTCAGTTTAAATGTCTTCCTGTCTCCATATGCCTCCCCCTCTTCCATGGTGCTAGAAAAACCTGATGTTTCAGTCTCTCATTTCAGCTGCAACATAAGGACCCGATAACTCTGTGGGGAGTGGGGGGGATGCTAAATTTTCAGTAATTTTTTAGTCAGTTTTGTGCCAAAAAGTTTTAATAGCCTACAGTAGCTGTCCATGAATAAACATGAGCTTAATGATACCTACAGTTGTTAGCTTACCCTTGGTTTCCTAAACAAAATGGTCCTCACTTTGGGAAAGGAATATGTTACATACAGTTAAGTGTATTAAATTGTCACCTTCAAGACATACAAATGAAATAAAGTGTTATTATTAGAGAGAATGGGAGAGGAGAAAAAAAAATAAACTTTAAAACTATTACAGTAATAAACTTCTAAAGGTAATAAGCTATAAGCCACATTTAAAGGTATAAACCAGAAGCTAGTTAAAATGCTATCTCTGCTATTAGGTTAATTAACGACAATTACATATGGCAGTTGAGGGTGTACGCTTTACAGTTCCACTCAACCTCACTAAGCATTGAATATTTCTCGAGGTGCTCAGGTCTAGATGGAAAAAAAATAAAAATTGAGCCTGCACTAGGTTTTGCAGAACATTTTTAGATTTTATTTCCACATGGAATTAGGAAGCCAAGATCTATAGTGCTGCAGACCAGAAACTGAGGCAGGGCAGGGAGAGCTACAGTGCTCTCAGTCCTGATTTGCAATGAAGTTTAACAGCCTTGTTTAGCATTACCAAAAGGCATCTCCCCCTGCTCAGTATCCAGGTAATTTTTTCCTTTCTCTCTTCTCACCCCCTGCTCTCCACCAGAGAAGGTCTTGCTCTACTTTTCTAACAAAGTAGGAAACATTCAGTGTCAGGTCTCGATTTCATTCCCTTAGCTTCCTGGCATAGGCAGAACTCATTGGAATTGTGCTCCATTCATCCTGGGTGGGTTATTCAGGGACAGGAGGAGATGGGGGGAACCACACTCTGCCCCCATTGCTCTGGAATGCTGCAAAAGTATTCAAGGATTTAGTGCTACATGTATCTCACACGATGGGAACATTCACCAGAGGCTGTGGATTCCCTCTTACTGACAAACTGACATTTCAGATAGAGCAGGGGGTGCACAGTCCTGACAGCAGGGTTTAGTCTGGATCAGAAGATTCCCAACAAAGCTGAAGTGTGATTTCCAAAACGGCCTCTTGCCATTGACACACTCTTGCCAGCCCAAAGGCAGTGCTCTCTAGGAACTTTCGTCTGGATTTCCTGCCCAAGGGCCTGGCGTGCCTTTGCTGAGAGACAAGAGACTGACAAATACTCAGCAGGTGTGTTGTGGAGGTGGAAATGCCACAGGGGTCAGCAGGAACTGCCTGAAACTGTGATTTCCTTAGCAGGAGGTGCTGTCACCCGCCTGTGGCTGCTGAGGGGAAAAGATGGCAAGTTGTTAAAGGAGTGTGCAGGAGAAATTTTCTCAGAGCAGTAGGACCCCCAAAAAGTTCCTGGGCTGTGGTTTTTCAGCTCTTGTTTGCAATTCAAATTCATAAAGTCCTCTTCTCCAAACTTGTGTTTTTTCTGGTGACTGGAGCTGGGAACTGCACCTCCCCTGAATGACATCCTCCACCTAATGGCAGTCAGGGTATAATAAACTCTGCAGCACAACAAACCTTTAATTAGTCCGTGCAACTGTGGAGACATTAAACTTTCATTCCTAACACATGTTCGCCAAAATATTTCCAAGCCTGATGATTTGGATATTTTCAGGTGAGATCCAGGTTGGCATTTTGAATCTGCCTTTTCAGAGGAAGAAACAGAGTCTGTGTGCCTTATTTCATAGGTGAGTGCTCTGATACTAATTTATGAAAAAGAGAGTCACCTCTTCAAAAAAAGAAAAATAAAGCTTGTTTTTTTGTTGGTTTTTTTTTTCCAGGTAAGTTCTGAGACTGACAGACTGAGTTTCTGAGGCAATAAAGTCAAAGTATTGCTTAAACTACAGGTTCCCAAAGGGTTTAGGTATGACCTGGCTCCCAGCCTGCTAAATCCTGACAGGATGGATGTGCTTCACTACAAAACTAGTTTTCTTGGATGAGGTTCCTTAGCCTCACTGAGGAGCAGGCATGTTATTCATCTGGGTAAATCAGCATCTAATAAACTTCTGCAAATAATCTGTGCAGCTCAGTGATTATTGAATACATATTTACCTTGTCTTAACGTGAATAATGCCGGTATTGAACTTAAATTTCAGAGCTAATTGCAATGTTAGGCTTGTTACATGGTTAAATATGTTTACAGCTGGAGTCCATGACCTCAAAAATAATCTCCAGCTTAAATGGCTCTATGATTTTAAGTGACAATCCAAGTTTCTTAGTGCAAGTACTTGGATATGAACAGAGACTGATCATGCTCTTTACAACTGTGGATTAAAATTTGAGCTTTTAGAAAAATTTAACAGCATTGAGCCTTATTGAAAAAAAAAACCTACAACAAGATATTCAAGCCCCTCTGACTGAAACTTAAAAAAAACCTCAAAACAATCCATCAGACACAAACCACAAACTGAAGAGAACTATCTAGTGTGTGTGGGAAGGTTTGACTACATCACCTAGAGGGCATATTTTCTGTTGTGTCTGAGTTGCTTGTTTCCCCCCAAATAATTACGTGCACTTGTGCACATAGAATGAACAAGTGACTGTGTGTCTGTCTCAAAAGCACATAGCATATTTCAGTACTGTGAAGAGCAAATGGTTTGTTCAGTCTGGTTCAGGAGGACACCTGGTTTGTGGGAGGTGTTAATTACACAAGTAAATTAGAGGTTCTGCTCTTTATTTTTGGAAAGCAGTCCAATTAATATTTAATGGCTCAGCTGGAGACACAGCAGAGATGACCTTAAGAAAGGTTGTAAATATATGAATACCTTTCAGAAGCCTGGGGGAGCAAAATGTCACCAGGCACAGTGTATGCAGCCAGCTCCTTCTCTGAGCTGGAGCTGCTTTTCCCTGTGGCTTGTGAATGGGAAACAGGCCAAAACACTGGTCCCATTTCTGCATATCCCTGATTCTTCTCCCTTTAATGTCAGATTTTCCTTGCCAGGACAGGAGGGTGCAGGATGCAAACTTGGTGCTTCTGCTCTTTTCTGTAAGTGAGCAATGCATGAACCACGAGCTGCTCCCAGCCAGGCTTCTCATACATTCTCTATGCAAATGAAACATATTGCAAAGCAGGTATGTTAGATGTCATAGGGTCCATATGGTTTTAAAGGTAGTTTTGAGCGTTGAGAACTACAGATAATTCCAGTTCAGTGACATCACTTTTTAACTAGATACCTTAAAATATTATAAACCATAAGTGAAGCCCCCTCATTTTAGTGTCCAATCCATTATCACAAGAGTGGAAATTGTTGAGTGCAGTCCACTGCGGATGCCAAAAAAAACCTCCAAAAACATCTCCTTTGGGACAGAGCCTAAGTTTTGTTGTGCATGTTTCATCCATCTCACTGCATCCTGCTGTGTCATATACAGGTTTGTATCCAGCAAATTCGGAGCAAGCTAACCAACATATCTTTAAATTTCCTTTACCAAATGGATTGAAATATTCAAGCACTTTCCAACAGAACTCCTCATGCCTAACACTAGAGTAGTTTTACTTAACCCACTTTCCCAATTTGATTTTTTTCCAACCAAGGCGTAGCACTCAAATTGTACCTCAATGAAGCCTGACCGTAAGTGGCAGACTCATTACCACCTTCTTTTCACTTTTATAATTCCTGTCCTTACATATTCAACCACTCTGCTCTCTTTGCTTGCAGCTGTCAGCCTTGATGCACATTTTCAGGATGTTTTCTGAAACCCAATAAACTGCTCAGTGCCCTTGCTCCACGGCACAGGACTGGAGATGGGCTTTGTGTGGTTTGTGTGTGCTCCTCCACGGAAACATTTAAACATGCTTTATGTCCTGTGTTTCATATTTGCCTTTTATCATGGGAAAACAAAATGTTAGTTGGTGACTTGTGACCTTCGTGTTACAAAAGGCTGCTGATCACTCCTTGCAGTTCTTAGCTCAGACTGGCTTTCAGCTTGAAATCTGGCTTTTCAGCTAATCAGACCCTTATTGTTATCATTGTTAATGAAGCCTGCTTTAGGCATTTAAAATATATTTTGGGCTTCTCACAGAGTAGTCTGAATACTTCATTATCCTTTTATTCTTAATACCTTGCTGG